GGGAGAGGAGAGAGGAGAGAGGAGAGAGGAGAGAGAGACAGTGATAGAAGGGAGAGGGGGAGAGGGGGTGATGGGGACAGGGACAGGGAGAGAGAGAGAGAAACAGAATGAGCATGAGCTGGGATTCTAACAGTGACTTTTAATTTGGGGCGAAATGACTTCTTCTCCACTGTCTTCCCACTCAGCTACATGTTCCGACTCAGGAACATACTCCACAGAAATCTAAAGGGAAGGTAAGAATGCCAGTTACAGACAACTGAGTTATACAACCCAATTTTAGGGAGCATAAAACTGTGTCATAGGATTTCTCCTAGAAATAGCCCATCCATATCTCTGTTTAGAACTAGATGGGAGGACAGCTGCAGGGCCAGTTCCCTCCGGCCCCCACAGACACCTTCCCGGAAGGGCACCTGTTGTGCTAAGGGCAGCGGCTGTGGCGCCCTGGACCGCTACAAACACAGGAGCCTGCTGCATCTCTGGTAGTGGGGGCTGAACCCAGGGCTCTGGGAAGGCCAGCCAACTGCTGCAGCCCCAGTGCCATCCCCAGTCCTATCTATCTATCTATCTATCTATCTATCTATCTATCTATCTATCTATCTATCCATCCATCCTTCCTTGTGGCCAGCTCAGCAGCCCTGGGGGTGGGGCTGGCATGCATGTGGTACTGGTGATAGAGTGGTTCACGGTTCCTAACTTTTGCCTAAGCTTGCCCAAGCAGGCGCTCAGACCACTGAGCTATCTCACCGGCCCTGAGACCTTTAAAAATGGGTTTATTCTGAGACCTGGCCCTGCTATGGTGCCTCACCCCTCCAAGTGGTTGGAGTTACAGGTGTGTGCACCCCACCCGGCCCCACCCACTCTCAAAGGCAGTTTTACTGGAGACAAGAAAGCTGTTTTGGTCTGTGTTGTTTATTTTTTTTTTTTAATTTTATTTTTTTTACAGAACCAGGGATTGAACTCAGATCCTTGTATTTGCCAAGCAAACACTTATCCTACTGAGCCATCTCCCCAGCCCTTGGTCTGTGTTGTTTAGCAAGTTCTTTTTTCTTATCTTTTGGAGTCAGGGCCTCACTGTGCAGCTCAGGTTGGTCCTGAACTCCCAGCGATGCTCCTGCCTCAGCCTCCTGAGTGCTGGGACTGCAGGTGTGCACCACTACGTTTGCCTTTGATCAAGTTCTTCATCTATCATAGACTAGGAAGTAAATGAGAAATATGTCTCAGCTTCCTTACATTTTTTTTTTTTTTGTTTGCAGAACCAGGGATTGAACTCAGGCCCTTGCACTTGCCAGGGAAGCGCTTATTCTACGGAGCCATTTCCCTGGCCCTTCCTTACATTTTGGGTACAATTTGTTTTTTCCACCTTTAGTTTTGACCTAAATTAAAGAATGTAGCAAAAAGAAAATCATCCAACCTTCAGATATGTAATGTGTAAGAAATGGATGCAAGCCATCAATGTCCCCTCAGCCGTGTCTCGCCCAGGCACTTTCTGCATGAGCACAGGTTAAAGCTCCCAGGCCTGCTTCTCCCGAGAAGACAGCATTCTGCTTTGCTTCCAGGTTGGGGTGGACACCTGGCTTACATCACCGCAGCAGATGTTCCAAAGCCCTCTTCATGTAACTGTACTCCTCAGGACAGCAGCACTTAGCAACCGTAGGTCACAGGCATGGGGTAGTTTCAGCCAATTCACTTTTTACCTCACAGAATTTAGCGTTGGTTGTACTCAGGAATTCTTTTCCAGGCCAAAGAGGGCCAGAGTTTGTCAGAAAAGCCTGTAGCCTGGGCGCACTTAAGGCTGCATCTGTCTCCAGGTCCTGGGGACCCAGAGGAAACCCAGCGGCGTGAGGCGGGAGCGCCAGCCTGGTGGGAGAGCCTTTCTCTGCGCATCCTCCTCAGGAGGCAGTGGCTGTGCTGGGAGCAGTTTACCCCTAGGACAATGGAGAGGGACCAGACTGGGCCACCCCCGTGGTCCTCCTGCAGAGCCCCAGCCTGCCCGAGGCCCAGGCCCAGGCAGGATACTGGGGTATGTGTTAGTGGTGGCTACAGAGACCTGAAGGGAACGTCTCTGCCCCAGAGTGGAAGTGGGAAGGGGGCAGGGAAGAGCGGGGTATTACTGCTTTGCGTCTGCTTTGGCTCAAGTTAACATTTAAGGAATAGGACAAGATTGAGATTATTATTGTTACATGAGGGAACAAATTTGCAGGCACATACCTAATCAATAAAAAACATTTCTAGTAATTTGATCACTGAGACGTGTGGACCAAATGTTTCCTAAAAGGCTGCCACACTTTCACTTCGCTTAGCCAGAGGCACCGACGCGGGCCGGGCGGGGCTGCAGCGGCCTGCCGCTCAGGGCGCTGTTACCTGATGAGCCTCGGCGCTCACTGTCTTTCTCAGCATCTGCACATCTTCTGACAGAGGCCCCTCTGTCTCCATTGCCGCTGGCAAGCTCATGGTGCTGGCTTGACTATACACTGTGTACTGCAATGCAAAGTGTGGGGTCACTGTCCAGTAGCGCTCGGCTCCGCACTCGGGGCGCTCATCCGGCCAGGGGACACGTTCCCCGGTGCCCTCCCCCAGGCCCTCTCCTGTAGGAAGCCAGCCCACCTAGGGGATAAACTTGCCCATGACACAGCCTGCAGACCCTGCTGCCTGCCGAACACCAGACACCTGTGTGTCCACCTGCAGTGGCCCCAAGGCCACTCCACGTCCCTCCCTGGGTCCCTGCATCTGACAGTTGGCCGTCCTGTACCTATCTACAGTCTCCACAGGAGCTGACCCTAAGCAGGCGCCAGGCTGGTCCTGGGCTGCTTCGAGGCCAGTGCCCTCGTGTCTTGTGTCTGTCCTCTGCTCCTGGCTACAGCCTCTGTGGTCTCCTCTGCTCTCCAACATCACCCGTGGAGGTGGCCGGCCCTGCACTCTTCCTCCTTTGTCACCTTTGCTCAGCACCTCCCTAACCTGCCAAGCCAGTTTGGCCACACCTGCACCGTCCTCTCCCCCGCCCCCCCATCCGACCTGGACAGTCCAGCAGGCCCCCTGTCCCTGCCTGAGCTGCTGCCAGGCTGCTGCTCACCACAACCCCTCTGCTCGGCCCGGACAGACCCTTGGCTGCAGTCCCTCTCTCCCGGTCCCTGGACCTCTCTGTTGCAGCCTCTGGATTCGGCCCGCCTCCCTGATGCTGCACCACTTAGCTTTATCCTCCTGGGCCCCTGCGGCAGGGCACACCTGCCCCTTTGCCCCCTTCCCCTCTCTTCCCTCTAAGGCCTGTCACATGCCCCTTTCTCTTCTGCTTGTCCCTGGGAAACGAGGTGGTGTTCGAGTCAGGCACGCAGCACGCCACGAGCTCAAGCTCTCCCTGCTTGTCCCGGGACCCTTCCCCAGCCAGGCCCCCAGGGCTGTCTATGTCTCTTCAAGTCTCTGGCCACGGGCCACTCCCTTGCAGGAGCCACAGCTGGGCTGTTTCCTTTCCCAACACCACTAGGCCCTGGGCCCTGGTGCTACTGCTCTGCCAGGCACCTCCCTTCTTCCAGGAGGCTCCTCTGGGCCTCTCCTATCCAGGCACATCCTGCCCGTCACCGCCAGAAGGCTTCCGAAAACCTGGGGCGCTGTCTTGCCAGCACTTTTATAGTTTTTGGGAAAGGGTCCGACTCGGTTCTCTCTCCAGTCTCATCTATGACAGGACCTAGTCTTGTCTGACACACCCTCAGGCGAACCCCTGCAGGTGTCTGCACTCTGCCCTGCCTCGGCCCTGCCAGCACAGATGGCCCTGCCTGGCCTCGCCACCGGGCTCTTTGCCGTGGCCGTCCCATGCCGCACCCTTCTTTGTGGCTCTCCAAATCCATGCTGCCCGCCCTCCGCTGCCATCTCTGTGCAGCACTCCGCTGGATGCTCGCCTCGGCTCACGCACGGGCCTGGGCCTCATTCTCAGCGTTCCTTGGAGACTCCCACAGTTCAGGAGACCCCGCCCCTTGCCTGGGCGGCTCCCAGTGAGATGTGGAGGTACAGAAATAGCAAGGCACAGCGACAGGCAGGAGGTGGTGCTGGGGACAGTTTTGAAGCCAACATTTTGGTGCTTGGCTGGTCTAAGAAAAAGCCAGTGCTTGGAGCAGCTCCAGCCCTCCCTGGAGCTAGGGAAAGGACAGGATCCCCAAGCAAGGCCATGCACAGTGTTCACAGCAGACCACGCACACAGGCATGGCCGAGAAGCACGGGCCTTCACTGAGCGCAGAGATGCTCCCAGCGGGGCAAGAGTCCCCACCCCCAGCAAGCGTGGCCGCACCAAGCTGAAGGCCACAGAGGTGCTTTATTCACTCGCACTTTGATGGTTCCCACAATGTGAGGGAAACTTGCTAAAGTGTTCTACAGCTTCTCTGGGCAGGACAGGAAAACCTGTCTAGGTTTGTAACCTTCAATGTTTTAAGATTTCAAAAAATTAAAATTGTATGTGACATTGAAAGATCACAGTGAAGCTGCTATAACTGCTAAACCCAACAGAACCCTCAGGTCACACAGCTTTCGAGTGCGAGCAGCCTGGCACGGTGTGCTCCACGTCCCCTGCACAGGAGGCGCGTGGTCTGTGACATCCAGGGTCAGGGAGGCTGCTGAGGGAAGCCCCTCTGCCTCCAGGAATTGCAGGGCAGCGCACTCCAAGCTCCGCGGCTGCGTCCTGGAAACAGGACTCGTGCTGTCTCGCCGCCAGACCCACGGCTGCTGTGGGCCAGGTGAGCTGGGGGGCGGTCTCTCTCAGGAGAGTGGAAAGCAAGTTCTTGGGCCACGTTTCCAGCCCTGAAGTGTTAACCATGAAGTATTTTCCATTTGCAGACACTGCGCAGGGAGCCAGGGGGTGCGGATGGGACTTGAGGTGATGTCACAGATGGTAACACAGAGATGGGGGTGAGGATAGGAGGTCACCAGAGCACCACTGCCCACGCAGTTATGGCCTCCTCACAGACAGGTAAAGAGCAACTGACAGGAAGAAACAAGGTTCCTCAAGCAAATCAGAAGAGAACAGTGCACATGCAGAGGGAAGAGCTGATGCAGCTGGGAGGGAGACCAGGCCACACGCCACGCAGGCAACACGATGGCCCGCGCTTCCTCAGCTGCAAGGTCAGTTTCAGGGAATCAAGGACACACACAGCCGAGTATGTCATTCCACTCTCCTGTGGTTTACATCTCGTGATTACAGCTTTATCAATAACAACACAGGTCAAATGCTGTCATATGGATAACATACTTCATACTGTTAACTTTACATTGATGTATTACTTTTTATTGAATATCAGATGCGCATAAAAGCTACCCCAAACTTAGATGTTCAAGGACACCACTCACCAGAAGTAACTGCTCAGGAAAGCGGTTTTTTCTCTGGTGAGCTGAGGAGTGCCTGAGACTTCTCAGTGCGTTAGAGATTCACACTCACAACTGGCACGAAGTGGGGCACTGCTACAACCAGGCACACAGATAAGAGGACCCAGGCACACGGAGCCCAGGCCACAGCGGCCGGGGCCAGCCCAAGCTGCCCCGTGCAGGGCTGGCGGGCTCGCGAGGGCGGGGGAGGTTAGTGCCACTGGCACACTCTGTTAGTATTTTATAAGTGGGACAGTTATGGAAACCAAATTTCAGGAGGACTTCAATTCCATACAACATCTATGTAAAATCTAATTACTTATCTTTTTAAAAAAATATGCATTTTATTTATTTATTTATTGGCGGAACCGGGGATTGAATTTAAGTCCTTGTGCTTGCCAGGCAAGCGCTTATTCTACTGAGCCATCTCCCCAGGCTAAAATCTACTTACTTTTCTTTTAGAATTAACTTGATATTTAAAAGCAAAGGAAACATGGTTTTACCATGGTACTTAGGACACTTGAGAAAGAAGGCAAAGTATAGTTTTAGAGAGGTTATATCTTGATTTCCTTTTTACCACAGTATTTTTAAGATTAAAGTCTTATTTAAGAAGCAGAGAAAAAAAATCCCACCCCATCAATTCTGTGGTAAAAATGTAGGATTAGAAAAAGTACTTGTACTAGAGGGTTACAAAGCAGAAAAATATTCTTTTATTGCAGATATTGCCATATACTGTGTTAGTGAACTGACCTCCCCTGGCCCCGGTGAGGCCACACTCCTGTACTACCAGAGATTCAAGCAACAACCATGACAGGTCATGTTACTCTCGTTAGTACCTGGGGATTCGCTTTGGCTAGATTTTCTATTTTAACCCATGCTTCTTCTCGCTCTTTCATTTTTAGCTTCTCTCTGAAAAACAGTAAAACGTCATTTGTGTTAGAGCCAAATCACATGTAAGGGAACACACAGGAAACCCAGCTGTGCTCCAACCACCGGTCCCCCCTCCTGTCACCTCCTGGCAGCTCACATGCTTCACGGTGCTGCTCGCAAAGGTGCGGTGTGAACAATAAGCTTAGCAACTGACCAAGCGTTAGAGAAAGAGATCTAAAAAAGCAAAAATCCTAAATATTTAACAAGTCTACGAATTTAAGTTCTTCAAAAAAACTTATAAAAGTGAATCTTGTCTCTGGCTGATTATTTGCTTCTTTATAGATAATTTGTTTTCTTTAAAAATATTTTTAAGGGGCCAGGGGTGTAGCTCAGTGGCATAAGCACCTGCCTGGCAAGTGCAATGTCATGAGTTTGATCCCTGGTACCGCCAAAAAATAAAAAAAATAAAAAAATAAAAAAATTAAGTTTATTGGTATATCTTATTTGTTCATGTATTTATTTATATATTTGGTACAGGTTCTTGCTATGCAGCTCAGATGCATAGTGACTCTTGTCTCAGCCTCCCCAGAGCTGGGATTATAGCCACGTACCACCACGCCAGGTTTCAGGGCTGGCATGGAGCGCCTAGGGTTCTAGGGCCAGCACAGCATGCAGTACCGGGATTGAACTCGGGTCCTTGCCCTTGCAGGCAGGTGCTTAGACTCCTGAGCTATCTTCCCAGCCCTATTGGTACATTTTGGATATACATCATGATCACATTCATCACAGAAAATCTGTAGCTCTACATGCTATCTCTTGACTCCTTTCCCCCCTTCTTTCCCTTCCCGTCCTTATTTATCAAGCCTTGGTTTCCGTATTGCCTTCTATTCTCTTTTCTTTTTCCCTTCCTCCCTTTCCTGCCCTGTTCCCCTTCCCACCTGAGTGTTTTCTTCCTGTTTTACAGTAGCTATGAGAACTAGGGAATGACTTGACAATTAACCGCATGATGGTGTTCTTGCCAGGGACACTGTGCCTGACACCTAGACCCTCCGGGGCAGATGGGGCGCCCAGTCCTCAGAGCCACAAGGGCAGGACCCTGACCTTACTAGAGGCCTGCAGAGCCCATCTGTACAGAGCTTGCTCCATCAGAAGGCTCTGCCACAACGCAGAATCTTATCCTGAGTTACCACGCACAGTCACCTTCTGTGTTCCCCATCCATTTTGCAAACATGAGTAAACTAGTAACGGTGGGGAGAAGACAGCTGAGCCGGGTGCTCTTTGAAAACAAGTCACAATAGCTAAGCTTCAATTTGCTTTCCATGTAAGAGAGGACCAGTTTTGCTTTAAGGTGAAGAACAGTTTTGTTCTTTGGACAATTCAAGATAAAGGAAACAGATCCTGGTGACTCGTAAAAAGATCAACTTACTTAAGTTTTTCTGCTTTAAACTGCTGGGTGCAGTCATCAAATAGTTTTTGGTTCATTTCCATGAAGAGTTTCAGGGCGTTGTATATCAAGCCATGTATTGTCCTGCAAGCAAAATCTGACAGTAAAACCCGGACAATGGACTGTTGTGACCCTTCTCCCTCCCTCCATGCCACAATCCCCTTCTTTTCCAACTTTTCAGGCTATTTCATATTTAAAGCAATATAGGACCCTGCCTGGGAAGCACAAGGTCCTGAGTTTGATTCTCAGTACAAAAAAAGAGAAAGAAAGAAAAAAAAAAAAGCCATATATTCCACTGGTTTCCTGGCTAAGTGTATGTGCGTGTGCAGGCACACACACATAGGTGAGTGGTACTGAGGATGAACCCGGGGCCCCACACACTTCGAGGCATGTGCTCTACTGCCAAGCTGCACCCCCGGCCCTAGCATTAAATTTTAATTTGAGATGGGGTCTTGCCCAGGCTGGATGCAAACCTACGATGCTCCTGCCTCAGCCTCCTGAGTAGCTGGGATCACAAACCCTTTCTATTTTCTTGAGTCAGCCCCAAAAGCCAGTGGGCTTCCGCTGGGCTACTCTGAGTTCACTGTCCTGGATGGAAGCAGCCAGCTGCCACCTTGCTTAGAAACGGAATAAAACAGTGTTGAAGCTTAAGACCAAGATAAAGCAAGACCTATGCAACAAAAGTTGTAGCTTTTGGGTCTGATAAGGTCAGTGAAATCCCCTCAGGATTTATCCTGAGACCCTGTACCTCAGATTGTAGATCCTTTGTCAGTGTCAGCCATGTGGATGAGTCACGGCCATTGCTTGGCCAATGTGCTCTCTGTGAAAGCCTGAGAGAATGTTTTCTCTCCATGTGACTCTCCTTAGGCACACTCTACATCATTGATCACTTTCCTCTGTGGCCCCATAATCTCCTTGATCAGAAAATTTGGGACACTACCGAGGTACATGATGTTACAGTACAAGTTCTCATATGTCCTGAGTCTTAATTGACCTTGGAAGGCTAGGGCCAAAATGTTGGCTTTCCTTGAAGCCCTCCTTTTTCTCCAATTTTGGCCTGCAAACTTAGGTTGTTAACCCTCCAGAAGAGAAGCTTATTGTTATTACCATATAACCTAGGCTGTTCAGCTTAACCTCACTATCTGTCTGAATATCAAACATCTTAGGCATAACATGGAACAGGTATTTTTCATCAAGTATTGATATGTTGAACTTTAAGTCCCTACAGAATATGATGAAAAAAAACATTAAAATACATTTTAAAAATAGGCATAAAGAATTATATAATTCTTAACCAATCAGCAGAAAAGTATAAAAATGAAGTATAAGAAGTAAAGTCATGGTGTTATGTTGAGCTGCAGGGGACTCTTGTCAACAATTTCTGACAGTGCCAGTCAAGTGGAAGACCCAATACTATTATGGACTACTGGACTATTTTGGAATAATTTGCTGAGTTCACACACCTATAATACTCAAATGATGGAACTAAAAAAAAGGAGATATGGATGAATGACCATTTTTTATCTGTGTATTCAGAATGGTTAGGATAGATATATAGCTACATTCTCTTAATTCAAGAAATAGAGGGATTTGTTCTAATAGTGTTTGTAAATAGGATATCATGTCTGCATCTTGTACAGCAAATAACCACTAGGAAGAGAGTATGCAATGTGTTAATTAATGGAACTATCCTACCAATTTGATTTGAAACTGTCTCATTGCTATTTGTTTCTCAATAAAATTATGGAAAAAAAAGTGTTGAAGCTTGAACAAACACAACTAAGACTGAATTACAGGAGGATATTAATGGAAAGCTGCATTCCCTATAAATGCAAATGTCCTGTCCTCTTACCCACTCAGGACAGAAAAGTTGATAATGCCAATGGCTGGGGTGTGCCTCAGAGGTACAGGGCTTGCTTAGCACCTGTGAGGCCTTGGGTTTGATTCTTAGCACTGTTAAAAATGAAACAAAACAAAGCAACCAACCCTAAGCCAACAAAACCTAAATAATGCCAAAACAGAGCTTTGGAAGGTGGAGAACAAAACCAGCAAGCCAGCTTCCTGACAGCATGTGTGCTGAGTGGTCTGGGTCCCACTTTTGGCTTCTCCAGTTACTGGCTTATGTCCTCAGTCAAAATCCTAGAGGAGCTACCTTAGAAGATGTGAACACCACATGCGTGAATGTATGTAAAAGGGCCTAGACTACTGTTCGATGTATAGTGCCACAGGATTTGTTTAATAGAATTTAAGAAATACAAAATCTTTTAATTATTTTTTCTTTTTTTTTTTAGCGGAACCGGGGGTTGAACTCAGGCCCTTGCGCTTGCCAGGGAAGCGCTTATTCCACTGAGCCATCTCCCCAGCCCCTAATTATTTCTTGAAACAAAACAAAACCAAACCCAAATCTAGTTGTCTGGCTTGCAACACAGGGAGAGGGAGAGCCCTGCTATCTTTGTGCCCACCAAGCATCCAAGAGGCCCTGGACCCAGCTGCCACCTGACCACACCTGAGAAGAAGCAGAGCCTGGTCCACCCACATGGTGGGCAACAAAATGCAACAGCATTTAAAGAATAGGCAAGTAGGGGCTGGGGAGATAGCTAGGGGCATAAGTGCCTGGCTGGAAGCCCAAGGTCCGGAGTTCGATCCCTGGTACCACAAGGCAAGCAAATCCTTGAGAACTTTACTCTAAGCAAGGACAGAGGCTGCAGGCAGGGGCCAGCTGTGCACTCCCACCACACTAACACATACTGCATGACGCTGGGGGGCACAGCTCATCTCTGGGGCCTCTGTCACCACCTGGGGCATCCACCCAAAACCAAGGCTGTGGCAAAGGAAATGCTGCTGGAAGCTGAACGCTGCCAGCCACTCTGCCACCTTAACCATGAAGGCCGTGGTAGCTCCCACGGCTGCCAGCACCATGGCTAAGCCTGTGCTCCAAAGCCAGTGCCAACCTTGTTGGTGCCTGGCGAATACCAGGCACTTTATGGACACTGGCTTTAATTTCCCTTTGAGCCAGCTGGAGCAGATGGTAAAGCAGAGAACTCAAAATATATTCTACTGTTACCCCAGTTGGCCAGTGCAAGGCGGGGCATGGCTGGGGAACATCTGCAGACCGCCCCGCCCAGACCCGGCAGTTCGTGAGCCGAGCCTGCTCACCTCCATCCTGCCCCATCTATGCTCCCTTGGTGTCCCCTATGTTCTGGGGACTCTTTGGGCTCCTGGTTGTGACTGGGCTTGGCCTGTGCTTGAGCATCAGGCAGGAAATCAGGTTTGGCTGGGAAGGAAGCAGGCAGCTTGCATTCAGGCAGGCAGGACCACAGTGCTGTCTCTCTTCCAGTACTGCTTTCCTGTTTGGGGATGGGGAATGGGGCTGGACACCATGGCTCTGCTCTCCTGCCCTCAATTCTTGTTATGATGAAAATATACAAAGGTGAGTCAGACCCTCTGTCCTCACATTCATTTGGATGATGTGAATATTTAAAAAGTTCAGTATTAAACATGGCCTGGCACCCGCAGAGACAGCTCCCTTTAGGTCTCTGAAGGCTGGCCCCGCATCAGTGACCCTCGCCGTCCTCCTCAGGTAGAAAGAGGTGTATAGCAGTGAACGGCTGGTTCCTGGCCTGAGCTCACGTCACCACACTGCCCTCCTGCCCTTCATGCGGTGCCCACAGCAAGGTGGCCCCTGGACCTCCCAGGATGTGTCACAGGGCCCAGACCTCTGCTGAGAATCGGTGGGAGGCACTGTGGTCCTGCGAGCCAAGCTCCAGGAGCTCTGCAGTGACCTTTGGCTCCCTAGGGCCTCAGGAGAAGCCAGAAGGTGGTGCAGAGCAGTGGCCCTCTGAGGTAAAAGAAAAGGCTGCTGCTATTTAATGTAAAAATCCCAAAGAGATCAGAACTGTTTAAAAATGGATTGAAATTTGAGTTTTAGCTCTGACTACACAAGCAGCAAGACATGCAGAGGAAGGCCAGCTCATTCCCTCTTACTTGTTCCAGTGGGTCTTGGAGTTGCGGTACAGGGATGGAAACATGATGGGCAGGATCTTCGCTGCGTTGTCGCTGATTAAGCTCATAATGTACTCGTTGTTCCAGTAATACAGCGCCCGCTCGGCCACCTGCAAGACGGGGCGCGGCTGTGAGCGTGTCCGAGGTGCCGCTATGCAGCCGTCCTACTGGTGAGCCTGAAAACGGATACTTGGACTATAGCTGAAGATAAATTCATAGCTACTGCCGTGCACTTGGGGTACTTCAGAGCGTGACCTTAAGAGCCTTCCACAAAGAAGAAACAGATAATTTCTTCCACATCAAGAAATCAAGGGGCTGGTGAGATGGCTCAGTGGTCTAAAGCACCTACTTAGAACAAGCTTGGCAAAGCACAGGGACCGCGGTTCAATCCCAGCACCACATGCCAGCCAGCCCCGCCCCCTGGGGGGCTGAGCTGGCCACACACACACACACACACACACACACACACACACACACACATAAATAAATAAAATTAAAAAAGAAATGAAGATCAAGTCAGGCTCAGGATGCTGTGGTTCGATCCCCAGATCCTCAAGCCTTACCAGTCCTGCCCTGAAGGCATCCTGAGCCAGCCAAAAAAAAGAGAAAGAAAGCAAGATCAGCATCACTCATTCTGCCATTCCATATCCAAACCCAGCAGGATGCTGGCGACACAAAGCCTCTGCTCTGCCCTGCACACCCTGTCTAAGTACAAGGTCTCTGGTGTGTGATTGGGGGGGCTGAATGAAGAGGCAGCTTAGGTCCTGGTGGGGGCAGACAGAGGATGGGTGATTACCTGATGTACTAGAAATGCCGAGTCCTGCAAGGGGCAGTGCGAACTGTGGCCTCCCTGTGGAGCTAGCCCTGCGACACTGTGGAGGACACCAGAAGAGCAGCGGGCTGGAGATGGGTGAGGCCACATCCCAGGGCGTGAGCAGGCCTCACTTGGGAGAGGTGGAAGCGTGAGAGGGTGACTACTCCTCCTGGAGCCTTTGAGCTGCAGGACCATGCTGTGTCCCAGTCTGGATGCACACTGCCACTCCTCTTTCCCACAATCAACAGGCGCACAGGTGTGGCCCCTAGGGGGACATGGGCAGGGCTGCCTCTCGCCTAATACCACAAGACTACACAGAGACCTTGCCCTGGCCCTCAGGAACACAGAGCACAGGAGGATGGCATTTCTGCCACCAGCAGTCTACAGATTCTGAGATTACAGCGCAGGGATGCAGGAGGAAGCCAAGAAAGGTGGGAACTGGGCCACTCTCTGGAGTACTTGGAGCCTAAGAATGTGGTGCACAAGGCAAAAAAGAAGGGCGCTGATGGCTTCTCAGGTATTCTTAATAGCTTTCTGTATTTTCAGGAAGTATCCATCCATCCATCCATTCATCCATCCATAAATAAATGCATGTGTAGGGAATATTTTAACCTTATACTAGAAATAGAAGCCTAAGATGCTTGATGGCTTGAATTCTGAATTCTACTTAATTTTTTTTAACATCAGCAATTATTTTTTATGGAAAAATCAGGAATGCACTGGCCTCAGGTATATGCTTCTGGAAGATTCGGCAATGTGTTTAGTGCTGATCTGGGTCCCTGAAGTAGCACAAGCCAACATGGGACTGAACAGTGAGGTGGCCTCTGAGAGGAAGGGTGAGGAGGTCCAGCATGAGGGCTGGAGGGGGTGCGGGGTCCTGCGACCTCCCTGGAGCAGGCCCTGACCACATGCACTCCTCGAAGGGCAGGCACAGCCCGTGCTTCCCGCCACAGCTCTTACTAAGACATCCAGGTGGTGTCCCCCATCCCTGTCTCCTCTTAGGGATATGGTAACCCCTGCATCAGCAGCCCCTCGTGCCTCTGGGGTCTGGGTCCCCCATAGCGTCTGCGGCTGATGCTCCACGTCACACAACACTCACAAAACAAGTGCTGTAAACCATGATTTTCCTACCCTAGTTCCTAATGGGGAAACTCAGAAATCTTAAGGTGAGAACACCCAGTGGTCCCCTCCCCAGCCACTGCTCTGGGCAGGACTCTGCTGCCCCGGTGGTGCTTCCCAGGCAGCCCTCTGCGCCTGCCTTCCTGCCATTGCCATGAAGGCGGGGTGGGGACCTGGAGCATCACCAGCAGTTATGTGAAGGGCAGTGCTAGCAGGCCCAGCTGGCAGGGCTGGCCATGAAATGCACGAAGGAGGCTGGGTGGGGCCTGCCTGAGAGAGGGAAAGGGGGGGGAGGGGGAGGGGCGGAGGGACATAGTGGGAAGTGGCTCTGACCAGGATGGGAAGGTAAGTGTGAGATGAGTCAGAAATACTGAGTTTTGGGGCCAGGGAGATGGCTCAGTAGAAAAAGCGCTTCCCTGGCAAGCGCAAGGGCCTGAGTTCAACCCCTGGTTCTGGAAAAAAAAAAAAGAAAAAAAAGAAAAAAAAAGAAAAGCAATACTGAGTTTTGCAAAAAAAGAACAAAAATACTGAGTTTTGTAAGATGTAAGGGGACACAAATTCCTACCCAGTGCCAGAAGGGCACTCCACCCTTGAGACATCTCCTCTCACTGTGAGACACTGTTTCATCAGGCTGCCATGGAACCCAGGTTAGGCTCTAGCTTGCAGTCCTCCTGCCCCAGCCTCCCAGAGTGCTGGGGCTATGGGCGTGTGCTACACAGCTGGCCAGAGCTGCAAGGTTGTAATCATCACACTGTTATTATTATTGATAATTCAGTGCAGAAAATAAGGTCACAAGAATAAGGAGGAACACTGAGCATGGAGAAGCTGAGCTTTCTAAATGTAAAGGTTTGCATTTTGTTCCTCTTGGGACTGAACCCAGGGCTTCCAGCACTCAAGGGAGGGCTCTGGCCCCCGAGCCACAGCTGCAGGTCTTTCCTTCGGGGGCCTCAATATGTAGCCCAGGCAGGCCTTGAATTTGTGATCCTCCTGCCTCAGCTTCCTGAGTAGCTGGGGTTACAGGTGTGTGCCACCATGTCTTCTGAGAAGCCATGCTGAATCACTGTTATTGAGAAAAATATTTTCAGTCACGAGAACAGGATATTAAAATAGATTTAACAGAATTAAAGTTTTAGCACCTTGCTTTGAAGTACAAGTAAAAACAGGAATTGAACATTTGAATTACTTGAGAAGCAAGCCAGGACGAGCTGTGCCCAACCCTTAACTCCCAGATGAACATGCTGAGTAACGTAAGTGTCTGTCCCCAGACCCACATACCTGGAAGTGTGGGCTGGAAACACACTTGGCTAGCTGCCGGAAGAGAGGTTCCATGATCTTCACGAATTCGGAGGGCTCGATCACATCTAAAATTTCTTCTAATTCATTTAGGAACATTACTTCTTTTGGACTGTGAGTCTTTGGCCAGTATTTGAGAAGTGCCATGACCACCTGTGAAGGGGAGCACGGGAGTGACACTGAGGGGACAGGTCTGTTCCACCAAGGTGTTTCCACTGCACAGCAGCAGAGCGTGGCTCACAGACTTGGAAATGAGCTATCAGATAAGGAAGTTTAATTTCATCTATCTATCTATCTATCTATCTATCTATCTATCTATCTATCTATCTATCTGGTACAGGGTCTCACTACACAGCTCAAGACTCGTAGTGATCCTCCTGTTTTCAGCCTCCCAACACTGGGATTACAAGCATGCGCCATCACGCTGGGCTTGGTGGCCAGCTCAGTGCATCTGGGGGTGGGGCTGATGCAGCATGTGGTGCCTGAGATCTAACCCCAGTCCCTGTGCTCGCCTAAGCAGGCACTCAGGCTGCTGAGCTATCTCTGTGGCCCAAGAGTCTAATTTTATATGGTCTGGAACCACAGGTTTTTAAATTTTTTTCTTTTTTGGTAGCAGGAATCAAACTCAGGACCTTGTACTTGACAGGCCGGTGCTTGTGGAATCAGTTTTAAATGATAAAACCACTCTCTCTGATCAGGTGCCACTTCAGTAAGCCAGCTCCTCTGAGTGAGTGGTGTTGGGGAAGCCAGAGCCTGGTACATGCCAGGTAAGTGCTTTACCACTGAGCCATCCCCAGACCATGTTGGTCTAATTAGAAAAAGAGAAAAGAAAAAAGCTTGAAAAAAAAGTGGTTAGGCCAGTCGTGGTGGTGCATACCTGTCATTCCACTGCACTTGTAATCCCACTGAGTACAAACCTATAATCCCACTGCACCTATAATCCTACTGACTGCACACTGTAATCACTGTGGCATGGCAGAAACAGCACCAGCCAGTGATTACCAGTGTGCACTACCACTTGGGGGGCTGAGGCAGGAGGATCACTGCAAGTTCAAGGCCAGTCTGGGCTACAAAGTGGGTTCAAGACAAGCCTGAAATGCATAGTGAGAGCCTGTCTCATACACACTCACACACACAAAAAAGTGGCCAGGAGAATGACTGGAAGATCAGGGAGGTTATGCAGAGCACGTGAGCTCACACACACACCCCAGTGTAGAGCAGACAGTTTTGAAACTGTTGGTGAATATATATACACACCCACAATCCAGTTTTCAATAAAGTGACCACCTGCATGTGTGCACACAGAAACGCACGTCTGTGCACAGTGTCTTCCACTGTGTTGTGTGGATGCAGCTGTTGCTAACTCACACCTGCAGGCGCCTCCGTGGGAGGAAAGGTGTGGGCAGGCCCATTCTGGCTCTGTGTGCACACCGGGGGGGGGGGGTGCTACTTAGCTCTGGAAGTACTCGCTGGGGGAGCTGCGGCGGCTGTGGCTTGGCGGAAACGGTGCCCCTCAGTGTGGACTACGTTCCGCTGGCCTGTGGTGGCCACCCAGTTTGCAGTACTGTGCACTGCTGTTTGCCCAAGTCCTACAGCTAGAAACAGCTTCTGCTGGACCCTTGCCTCTTTCATTTGTCCCTATAATTCCAAATCCTTGTTATAATCAGACAAATAAAAATACTGGATTTAAATACTGATTTAATGCAAATCAGTATTTCTAGAGTTTATATCTCTTAGTTTAAAAACACAGAATGAAAAAAAAAATAACCACACACACACACACACACACACACACACACACACACAGAATGAGGGCTGGGGAGATAGCTCAGCAGTCCAAGTGCCTGCCTTGCAAGCACAAGGACCTTGGTTTGATCCCTAGTACCGCATGCTACACCAGGCCTGGAGCCCTGGGTGCGCTGAGCCAGCCACCAAGCCTGGGCGTGGGGCACACGGTAATCCCAGTGCTTGGGAGGTCGAAAACAGAAGGATCACTACAAATCCGAGCTGCATAGTGAGACCTTGTAGCAAATAAATAAAAGATTTTAAAAATTGAAAACGACAACAATCCCAAATAGGCATTTTATGCCTCACACATAAGTCCACACACACATTTGCACATGTAGTTGCACAAGTAAAGCCAGATTCCTGCAGGCAGCTGTTTAGCCCAGTCCCGCAACGCTGGGGAGCCGCAGCTCTGCCCCGTGGCAGGACCGAGACTGCTGTAGAGGCCTTGTGCACGGCAGCTGTGGGAGACCGGCTGGCCACTTGTGCTCACAGATCCTTTCCGGACTGGGACAGCCCGCCTACTCCTGCCCAGGAGAACCTCAGTGGTATTCACAAACACAGTGAGAACTTAAAAATTCTTCTTAGAATTATTATGTTTTTGGTACGTGGGCCCCTGAACAATATTTTTCTATGATATTACATTTCTAAAGCTCCAACATTTATTTAAAAGTGCTCTGAATTTTGGCCTTTGACATAAAAATCTACAAAGGAACTGTCTGAAGAACATCATTTGATGGTCACCCTCCTACCTATAGCTCAACAATAGTAAACACTTCCTGAGCACTCATTCTGTGCACCCAAGCCACTGGCAGGAATAAAGCTGATGTGGGCGTTTCCTAACTCACCGCTTAGAGGGAGAGTTGTGAGGAGAGAGAGATGCTCATTTGTGAGCCACAAGGACCAGCTATGCACTCTGTTGCGCCACTGAAAGGTATTCTTTCTGGAGTCAGGTCACACACTGGAGTGATTTTCGCGCTGTTTGGACCCACAGTGGCCAAGGCCCAGTGATCTCAGCTGCTCCTGGGGCAACAGGATTTGGCAGCTGGGTGTCTGCCGGGGGCTGCTAACACTGGGGAGAGTGGCTGCATGCGTGCGGAGGGTGTGACTCCTGGTTCTGCACCCAGGAGGAACTCACAGGGCTGCTGGCTCCCGGGAGGGTTGGGGAGTCTGGGTGGCTGCAGGCCCTGGCTCTCCTGGAGGGGGAAGAGCTGCCACTAGGCCGTGCAGGTGAAGAGACGTGGCTCTCCCGTGAGCCTCTATAGGCTCATAACAGTAGTAAATTTTCACATGCCCAGAAAGCTTCAGTCCAGCAGACAGTGTCTAAATGAAAAATACTAATTATAGGATATAAAAGGGGGTAACAATGCCCTTTATAAAACTTTTTTTTTTGGTGTGTGGCACCAAATCCACAGCTTTAAAATGAGCTACATCTCCAGGCCTTTATTTTGAGACAATCTAAATTGCTAAGGGTGGGCTCGAATATGTGATCATCCTGCTTCAGCTTCCCAGAGTGCAGGATCACTGGTGTGTGCCACACGCAGATCACATTCTACCGAAGTAGTCCTGAGCCTTGACACAGGCTGACACTAGCAGCCACATGGGGTAGGCCTGGGGGGCGCCTGCGTACCCCACACAGATGCCTACGCTTGATCCCATTCCTGACGTGCCTTCATGGCTGAAATCAGACAACATGGCCTCCGTGTCTTCATAACGTGTGACCCTGAAGGAGGAAACTTACGGAGGGGAGGGCCTGAATGCTTCTAGTATAAACTGCTTTTTGTGTTCTGGGTGGCACTGCAGCGTTGCCTGTGCAGCAGAACTGTGGAATAAAGCTGCGCTGGGCTTGCGGTGTGCAGCTCGCCTGCGCTGGCGGCAAGCCTGAGTTCCGCAAAGTCCCTGCCTCTAGTGAACAACTTGAGTGACGCTCTTGCTCTCATGGTAGGGGTCAGGGTTCAGGCAGGGACAGAGGACAAGTGGCTGGCTGCAGAGGCCCTATGGTGGGGACCTGAGGAGAAGTCCCAGTGTAAAACTGGGCTTTAGCTATTATGAAGTAATGCTATGAGAAGTATGTGGGTAAAAATCGTTACAGGAAAACCTTGCTTGCTGTCTTTCTCCTTCCGTGTCTGTCTCTTCTTAGGTTTCTGAATAGAAAAATGGAGGCAGGCTGACTGGAATTCCTTTACATACTACTTTCTCAGGAAAAGCTCTCAAGTTTAGAGATGTCAGATACAGATGGGAAGCAGAGCTTTAAGCACACGAGAATACTGTAGAGAAAGACAGAAAACCCCACCAGTCCCCAGGGGGCTTTTACAAAATTATTAACACCTTTTCCTTTTCCATGCCTAAACGGTGTTTCGGTGGAGTAAAGGGACCAAAGGAAAGCATCCTCATGGAAACTGCCGCTTTCACCTCTCATCTGGGTTCCAGATTCTCAGAGCCTGGAGACCGGAAGGGTGAGGACGGCAGTGCACAGAGGGCCCGGCTGCGGCTCTGCAGCCCGAGCCCCTGCGCAGCCCGAGCCCCTGCGCGGCCACAGAGGGCCCGGCTGCGGCTCTGCAGCCCG